AGCATAGGTAATTGCCAAAAAAATAAAAACAAAAAATTCCAGAATATTTCCATATTGATATTCATATTTGTCATTGTTTGGACATCTTCAGCTACCGTCGGCAGAACGCCCGCGGCTTCTAGGAACTCCCGCTGTATGCAAATATTATGCAACATATGTCGTCATCAGGTCGATGTCATCCTGCGAATCCCTCAGGGTTCCGCCGCTTGCAATTGAGACAATTGCGATGCCGTTCAGAACAGTTCAGAGCAGTTGCTGGAGGGTTCTGTTCTGCTGCCTCTTGCAGCGCCTTGCAGAGCGCAAACGGAGATTTATGTGGATTTTTTTATGAGTTATTGACTTCTTCACACAGATAAATCACAAATTTTCTCCATTGTGATGTGTTTGTGAAAATATTAGAAGTGAATGTGATTTATGGCATGACTGCGAGTCCAACACACGTTCACATACACTCGCCCGCACACACTCACACACACACACATGCAGTACAAGTCTCATGGAGCTGTAATTGAAATCCCGACTAAATGTTAAAAAGAAGGAACCAGCCAAAACAAGCTAAGTAAATAAAGAATTGAAATAAGCAGAAGATTTGTTGAAATTTTAATCAATTTTCAGCAAGCTTTCGTATTCTTAAAAAATTCATATTATGCTATTCTATATTCATTGTCTATTCATTCATTTGTCTACAAAGTTAAAGTTTTAAATAAAGACTCTATTGAAGATAGGAACACTTTCTTACTAAAAATTAATTCTCAACAGCTTAAAGGATGCCTAAATGCATTCCTCGGGAGCTACTTTAATATATATTTATTAAAAAACATGTAAAATAAAAGCGCAATGCACTTTAAATAAATAAATTTGTTTAAGCTATTCTAGTCCGTCTCAAATAATACATATGATGTATTTGTACCAGTTTTTTAATCCTTTGTACAATGCAAGAGGCACGGGTTTCTAAACAGCATCAATTGATTTATGTGCATATGACACATTGAACTGCATACAAATGAATTGATTTATTATAAATTTTCGTTTTCAACTGAAAGTAAAAACACAAATGCAACGCTCACGGGCTGATCTTGTTGTTGGGCAAAGGAAACTGCAGATACCCGAAGATACCCGAAGATAACCTGAAGATAACTAAGTGTACGATCCGGACCGGGCGATTCAGATCACTTTCAAAACGGCGACAACAATGCGAACTCATAAATAATAATTTCAGGCTGTGCCTCGCGCCGAGAATGAAAAACTAAAAAAAAAGATGTATATAAATTGAGAAGAAGAGCGGCAGGGCCAACTGTAAAAACAGGTAACCTTCAAACACAATGGTTACGGACCCAGGACGGCGACTGAGATGAAGACTAAGTCAAGCCAAAAGTCATGTCCGTTGCCCGGCAAGGGGCAGTCCGCACCGCAACGGTTCAAAGTCAAATACTGTGGCCCGAAGATGCATTTGCCGAGATACTCGCACCCAAATTGCCACTGCGTAGGACGCATATTAATTTTTATGGCCGTTGAGAATGACTATTGCATAACCTGAGAGATCTGAGAGCTGAGAGCACTGCGAACTGTGCGGCCTTCGGCCAGGTGACTTCCTAATGGCTAATGATATTTTGGGAAATTCTTTATGGCTTTATGACATGTGCACGGGAAAAACTGCAAGTGACAAAAAATGGCAAGCACCCAGCAGGTTTCACTTTCATTCCTGCTGATTTTTGTTGTTATTTCAAGGACATTTTCCGAATAAAAAAAAGAGAATTTTTGCAGTTTTAAAAGGTGTGCCGGAATTAACTATTAGATCAGGTAGGTTGCATTTCCAAGTCGCCAAACTTTTGGCCTGGCCTGAGCGCGTTCACATCCCACTTTCTCTTCTTTCTCACTCTCAGTTCTCTCCTTCGCTCTCTTCATCTCTATATTTCTCTGGTTCTCCGTCTGCATACTTTTTTTAAATTTCTGGCTTTTTGCGTTCGTTGTCGCGTATCTCTTTGCAATAAATCATTGTCACCCGCTCGGCGCAATGTCACTGCGAGAGCGCCCCGCTGGGCGGCTCAGACCTCGACTCTGGCTCCGACTCCAACAGCAACTCTCAGTCCGTGCTGAGACCACAAAAACACAGTTCGAGTGCACTAGCAAAAGGAGCTGACTGCTAGCTCCAAAAACGCAAAACCCCCCAGCACACCCAATACAAACACATACACATACAAGCACACAGTTGCAGCGAAATGCCAAACAAACTGCAGCCACAGCAAATTGCCACCCAATGCTGAACAACTGGGGGCTGTTTAGTCCTTCTTTTACTGCAGCTACATCAATATCCGCACAGAAATTAAATAGCACAGCAAAAAGACCACAACAAGTGGCAAAAAAAGTTAAACAACAAAATAGAATCCAACACTGAAAATTCGCTAGCTTAAATAGTTCTTGTCAGAGTGCTTAAACAGCTTAAGGAACTGTGGCAAGGAACAGGATACGAGAATCAGTATACAATGAGATACGGGTTTGTAAGAAGTGTCAAATTAAATATGGGAATTTAAGTTTAAAAAACGCTTGATCTCTTATGTCCACTATGCAGCCTGAGAGCATGAGCTATAATAAAAAATAATAATAAAAAAGGTTTAAATTTCGAGCTCCATAAATTAATTATGTGGGAAAATCTGGATATCTCTGCCTTAGATAATCGTAGGTAAATTTATCCAATGTATGCTATTTTTGATTGAATGCATTATAAAATTAAAATATATTTATTTTAAATAGATTTTTCTTGCACAATCTTGTTATTACCTTGTAGGTATCTAAAATTCAGGTCAGCAGAATATTACAGAAAGGCTTTTTATATATATATCACGAAAGGCTTTGGTTTATTACTAGTTTAATGCACAAGAAAAGCTCTATATAAACAAATCGCCAGAGCTTTTAAGGCTCAATTCTATTCGCATTTTTTTTTTGTGAACTTATTCTTGGCAACTTTGACTGTAGAATAATGCGAAATGTATATACAAGTATTCCGCGAGAGAAAAAAAATATAAATTTAGGATTTTATCGAAAAAAAAGAGCTTGAAGACTTAACTTTTGTATTTGTATTTAATTTTTAATTTGTGTGAAATTTTTTATTTTGTTTTCAGTATTCAAATTTGATATTTTTTCTTTTTCTTAATTTGTTTGGGTATTTGCATTTGATTAATTAGCCGTTTCGTGTCGTCATTTATCAATGATTTTGGAAATAATTTCAATTTCAAATGCACGGCATCTGTTTTAACTAAACAAGTTTTGCTTTATTGTTTACTCAGAGCTCTTTGTTTCGGGCGACTTGTGGATATACATTTTTCGGATTGTTTTGTTTTTGTTGTAGCTTAGCTTAGTTTGGTTTTCTTCTCGTTCGCTGATTAATGTTTTTACAAAACAGTTGTCGCCATTTTTATGCGGGATTATTTAAAACATAAATCATGTCTAAATGTGTGAATTTGATTAAAAATATGAACACATTATTGTGGAGCCCACGGTTGCGGCAGGGGAAAGGGAGACTCTTACTTATTTACTCATTCAAGAATTGGGTATTGTGAAATAAAGATATCATCATTATTTAAACAAGTCATTCAAAGTATATGCAATAAAGTCGATAATAATTCAAATACATTTTCAATTTTAAAAACAAAAAATTTGAACGCATACAAGCGGAAGTTGTTGGTGAACAAAGCGTTTTAATATGCGACCATTAAGAACAATTGATCAATCATTTTGAAATAGTCCAGAATCAAGTAAATCATTTAGATTCAAGTAGAATACAATTGTTTCAGATATTATAAAATATTTTCTAAGTTTTCTATATTTCATTTAAATCAATTTAAAAGATTCTGGAAGATATACAACATGAGTTTAGATCTATAGATGTTTTTGAAAGTAGTAAATAGGGTATATAGATTAAATGTTTTATATATATAGTAACATTTAAATATTAAGATTTAAGATTTCAATAGGATATTTGAGAATATCTCTGATCTTGAATAAAACTATTGGCAATTGGTAGTGCATCAATGCACCATGTGACACCCATTGTCCAGTGTCCTGTCTCAGTCATAAATCATGAACTTTTTGCAATGCAAACAAAAAGCAGAGAGAGAAAGAGCGACAGAAACCGAGTTTATGATTTTGTCAGCTGTGAAACATTTCCAGCTGATTAAATCGATAAATTATGAGAATATAATAACATCTGATGACAAAAATTGGTAAAATAAAATGGACTGTCTGTTTGTATTGTACAAATGCGTGAACAGCACATAGAGAAAAGGCCGAGTTGTTGCGTGTGGCAATGTTAATTAAAGCATTTTGAACACATCAACAACGAATCAAACAAATATTTATTATATTTATAAAATAAAAACAATAACTGAACTTTAAAATGCAATAAATCTGAGAGCAAGTGCAATGGTTGTGAGAGTGTGAGAGAGAGAGAGAGAGAGAGAGAGAGAGAGAGAGAGAAGGGGAGGGAGACAAAGGGATAGAGGGCAAATGAGAGAGCAACAGAGCAGACAGAGAATGCGACAAATATGCAGGCGGCAGACAACTAGGACAATTGCAACAACAACAACAACAACAAGGACAATGCGCCGCAACAATGGCCGCATAAATTTTCTATGCACAGCCAGTTTGTCTATGTGTGTGTGTGCTTGTGTGTGTACTCACACTCCGCAATGGCTGCCGCATGCGGAAGTGAAACTATGTTGCCCAGGATATGTGCAATAATTCAAAACGATTCCAAGTTCAAAGCGGCCATTACTCGTGGCCAACTCCAGCTGCAGCTCTGGTTCAGACTCCTGAATCTATCTCGTTGCCCGACTCTGGACTCGGCTCTCTCTGCTAGCCCCCAAAAATGTATGCAAATGTCTAATAAGCCTGTCAACAGTTTGCAGTTGAATGATGTCCTTGTACTGGACGTAACTTTTGAGTTATGAAGTGTTGACTTGGTGCCACAAAAAGCGGCAACTTCAAATCGTGTTGCAACTCACCGTCTAAATCCAATTTGACTGCGCAAATCCTTGATCCTTGTGTGGTTTATGAATTCAACTAGCGGTTGTGCACGTGCGCCGAAACTTTTTCACCAAAAACTTTATTTGATAATTTTTTGTTTTCCTTTGCTTTCTTTTTTTTTGTTATATGTTTTTATCTGAACTTTCTTTTCGTTTCGTTTCTTTTCTCTTTTTGGCTGTCTGCTGGGTTTGTGTAAATATTGCTTGCTTTTGGACTAGAAATGTTAAGAACTTTGCTCGTTCACTCGCTTTGGCTATGGCCAAATCAAGCCGAATATCTAACGTGAAACACTTTACTTCTTGTTTTGGTTGTAGAGTGTAGCAAGTGTAACTTTACACTAATTCACTTATTGCACAATTTGATTGCCGAGTTAGACACCTGCCAGACGTTGGAACGGTAGGTGTTTATGGGCTCTTAAGTATCTACGTGGGTCAACATCATAAAAACGAGAAGAACAGCGAGATAGAGAGAGGAAATAAACGCGCGCGTTTCTTCTGCTTGCGATTTATGTCGCGTTGAAAATGTCTGCGTCCGACTGTGGCCAATGTGCGAGTCCTAATTTTTTACGATTATTGTTATGATTATTTTTATGATTTTTACGAGCTGTCAATTGGCCGCAGCGTGGCGGGCGGACGGGCTGGCTGGCGTTGCGACGAGCTGACCACGGCGACCGTAAACGACCGAATAGTTTGGGCAAACAGACCCAAAAGATGCCGCTGCTTTAGCTGCTGCTGCTGCTGCTGCTGCTCTGATGGTGCCCCCTACGCCGACAGCAATAATAACACACAACAACAACAATAACAACTATGACAACGAGAACAACAGCGACGACGACGACGACGGGCAACGTGTGGAATACACGGGCTACACTGCACACGGGTGCGTTTTGTGTTGTGTGATGTTGATTTCTTTACGACTTCTATCAAACTAAACCCATAAAGCATTCAATTCAAAGCATATACATGTGAAAATCCAAGCGAGAACTCCTTATTAATCCAGAAGCGACGCGCCAGCCGCCGCCGCTGCGCAGCCAACGCCGGCAGAGTCGCACTGCCCCCAAACAGTATATAAATAATCTTATAAGAAACTCATGCGCCGACAGCGGGCGGCGGCAGAGCTCGTGAGAGAGAACCGCAGTCGAGGCGCTGCCAACGTTATTTATGTATGCCAACCGCTGTCGACGTTGCCGCCACCGCCAGCGCCAGCGTCAGCGTCGCCGCTTACGCTGGCATCGACGTCAGCGTCGGCCATAAAGTATCTGCAGTCAGTACGAAACGAAAAGCGCAACAACAACCAATGTATCTTTTGCTCGCATTTGGCGCTCGTTGCCAGAGCTCCAGAGTTCCAGAGTTGAGCGTCTGAGCGAATGAGTGAATGAGTGCGAAATTTACGTTTGCGAGAGCTTCCACAGCTGGTGGCAACTCCAGTTGCCCGCTGCCAGTTGTGTTTGTATCTCACATTCGCATAGCGGCCACTTGCGGCTTTTGCTAGTCTGAAATGCGGCGGCCTCGTGCATCAAGCTTGCCTCTAAGCTGGGGCCCCATCGGGGTTTTCACACTGGCAATGCGCATATCTGAATCAATTTTCAATTTTACTTTGGTACGTTTTGTTTCTTTAATGAAAATTAATATATTTTTGGGTTTATGACAATCAGAATTTCCTTAAATATTAATGTTTTGTAATTATCTTTTTATAAATAACAATATATTCAAGGAAATTTCAGGATAAAATTAGAAAATTAAAAACCAGAAAAGACTCCATATTTAAATACTATAATAAATACTTTTTAATTAGTTGCTATTACTATATCCTCAATTTATATCAAAAAGAATATTTACTTTTCAAAACCAATTATTTGCATTATTAGTTGTTTTAAACTCAAGGAATCTTTACTTGAAATACGTATTTTATTGGGTATTATATGTAAAATGTTTAAGACTTTATCACATAAAGATTAACTTTAAGGGATTATTTGTAATACTCAGATTTAATGTTGTTCTTGCAATGACTTCAGATATTGAAAAAAAATACCTATATTTCTTAATATAAAATTCAAAACAATTTGTAAGCTTTACTTATTTTCATTTTAAAATAATTATTCTGCGAGAATTATATTAACAGCACAGATCGTTAATTTATTGTAAAGGATATATTCTTATAAACGAGTACGTATTTTATTTTAATTTGAGACTTTAGGTCAAGTATTTATAAATATTTAGGTCAAATATAGAATATTAAATATTTTTGCTTAAACATAACAAAGTTTGAGCAATCTTCTGTAGAGAATTATGGCTGCCGGATGTATGGAATCTTTATTTGCCGACGGCACAACAATCATGGCGTACAATCTTAACAAAAACAGAAACAACACGCACTCACACACACGCGCGCGTACTCACACACACACACACACACGCACAAGAACTCGTACGCAACGCAGAACCACCCTAAATAAGGGAAATGGTTCAGCATCTTTCTCTCTTTCTCGCTCTCTGCTCGCATCTTTGCTGTGGCTGCTGCTGCTCTCCTGTGTTGCCCACAGCTGTTGGTGGCCGCACAGAGCGTGAGCATGAGCATGAGATCAGCAGAGGCAGAAGAAGCACTAGAGAAGTAGCTGCTGTGTGGCTACAATACCACGCACCACGCGCAACATGCTGCTGGAATAAAAAAAAAGGGTACTCCCCTCTCTCCTAAGACCATGCCAACGTTGCGCTGCCTCTGCCTCTGCCTCGGCCAGCGTCGCCGTCACCAATTGGCAACGCGTCGCAAACAGGGAGGAGCCGCTGCAGCGCGCGCTCATAAAGCATTCTCGCCTGTCGCCTGCTCGACCGCCTGCCGGAGAGCAATACTAGCGCTCGCCTCCAAGATGGATGACGCCGCTGACGATGTCTGTGTGCGAGCGAGCGCGCACGAGAGCCGCACGAGCACGTGCAACAGGGACGGCAGCATGCGGCCGCGTTAAGTGTGACGAATGTGCCATTATTTTGCTTTATTGTGTCGTGAGCGGCCGCCGCGTTGCTCTTTTCAATGGTATTTCTCACATAAATTTACGCAGCAGTCGCGCACGGACCTACAAACCGAACCGACCGAGTCGGCCGCGTCGACGTTGACGTTGCTGCCAACGTGGGCAGATGCAGAGACAGAGGCAGAGGCAGCAAATGTGGACCTGGCCCGACGGCTTCTCTTTGAGTGGAGAATCATTTGGCCTTTTGCTGTCTGCTGTGCATGAGGAGCAAGACAGCGGCTAAAACGCTGTTACTTTTTGTTTATATTGAATAGGGATCGCAATGAAAACATCGAATCGATGGTATATTAAATTCTTTTTAGTTATTAACAAAATGAATTTAAAAGCAGAATAAAACATTTTGCAAATTTATTTCTCAAAGTTCAAGCTAAGTAACAGCACTTCTTTTGAATTGTCGGAGTCAAGTCAATATGATTATGATTGATCAATTAATCAAAAAAAATTGGACCTATAATACAATGTCTTGGCAAAAAAAAAAATGAAAACTTTAATTCAAGCGAAATAAATCCTTAGAAACGACAAAACGAAAATTTCAAAAAAAAATATTTTATTTATTTATTCAAACTTGTTATTCATGCTGTTTAATTTCTTGGTTATCTGATAGATTGATTAGCATACGAAAAAGTAAAACGTGCTGTTATATAAATTAAATTATATGTTTGACAAGATTTTCTGTGTCATTTAAAATGACGATTTTGAAACATTTTCCCATTTAAATGTGGTATCCGGGACTTGGCAGCTGTTAAGTTTTTTTTCGTAGGATTTTACACTCAATTATGTCCAGCAATAAATATCAAATGAGCGAATGAATCGGTTTTAAAAGCGTACTTGGCGCCCCACCAATGTTGCAACTAGGCGAATGTGGATGGGGACGTCTGAACCACAACTGGCAGGACCAAAGCCTTGCCCACAGGTCCACGTCTGTGGACCCGTACGCATCGCTGCTCTTTGACAACTGTGCGTCCCTAAATCATTCAATTGGTGCTCAGGCACGGGGACGAGCACGGGCACGGGCACGGGCAACAGCAACGGTAATGGAAAGGTGCTGTGGCGGGGGCTCAGCTGGAATCACGGATGTGGCTCGTTCTGTGCTGGGCTTGTACTTTTTGTGGCATTCACCTTGGAAAATATTTTCACATGCCGCCATCGGGCGCCCCCGGTAACCATTTCCGCTCCAGCAAGCTGCTGCAACAACTACAACAACAACAACAATAACAACAACGACATCAGAAAACAACGACATTCAGAAAAACAAGACGCGCGTGCCGTTCAGCCGCTGGAGCCGGGACCTGGAGCCTGGGACCTGGGACCTGGGACCTGGGACCTGGGACCCAGGCTTTCTCATCCTCGGCTCGGGTTCGGCAATCGGGCAAATAAGTCAACCTGCAGCAACACAAACAGCAACAACATCCCAAAAGTGATCGATGAAGTCGCTCGCCAAATTTACGACGTGAAACTTTGAATTGTTTCGCATGTCGCTTCGATTTTGCTTTCGAGCGGAGCCGCCCGTCGTTTTTCCCCGTCCCTAATCTAGACCAACCTGTTTCAGCTGTGATCTACACTTAACATATCTGAAATTTCAGATGAATTTTAAATGCAAATAAAAAACAACAAAAAAATCCAAAAATTTCCTAAATTTCTCTCGGATTAGCAAATAATTAGTAAGTAAAATATATATTATTATAATAGAGGAACTAAAATAATAAAAATTAAAATAGAAATAATAATTGGTAAGAATTTTAGAGAGTCTACTTTTTAAAAATCCGAAATTAAGTAGCTCATTAACCTATTTATTATATTACTTAACGCTTTTTTTGCTAAAAAATATTCTTACATTTGGCATGATTTAGTCTGTGCATGTGTGGATTATTTTTTAAATCTGATTTTAATTAAATAAATATAAGTTGGATAAGAAAATAATAGAAACTTTAAAAAATTTATTATATTTCTATTTAATGAAAATCGCATTTAATAGCATATATTTTAATTTTGATGTAGGGCTGTCATCATATTGTAATTTTATTATGAGTTGGTAAGAGAGTAACGTAGACAAGCAGACATCTCAGAGCCGCTGAAATATACATATTTTCTATCAGTTTCAACAGCCGATTTGAAATAATCATGTCTGTTTCGGTGCAAGCTAGTACCTCAGCTCCAAATCGGAGCACTATATCATATAACTGCCATCCTCCCCATGGCAGTTCGATCCAAAAGTAGGTTCATCAATAAAAGACTTTTTTGTTTATCCAGATATCTTGACCAAACTCGGCATTTGTTAATTTTACTATGCTCCCATATATATACCTAATCTTATTTGCATTGGGCAACTACACAATATTATTTGCTATATCAACGCAAAATCGGTCACAGAATGAGATTTTGTATGTTAAAATTTTCGTTTTCTTACCAAACTCTGTCTTTTTGGCAGACCCTTTGCAAAGGGTATTCAGGTTTCTCATGTGCTTGATTAGTTCATTTTGACATTTGCTTTTGTAATTGTTCTGAATGAAGTTGAAGTTGTGCTATTGTTGTTATTATTGTTGCTCTTGTGACAGAATGTGCATGCAAACGAATAATCAGTCAAGTTGATCAGGTGAGTCAATAAATAAAGCGCCAACTCACGGCGCACGGTAGCCCCGGCCGGCAACTACAACAATAACAACAGCAGGAGTAGAAGATAGACATATGTGTACATATGACAACATTTTAATGGTCGTTTATCATAATTTGTCTTTGAGCCAAGCTAATGCTAACATCAATTGCTTACTTCTGTTGCACACCGTGGGCGTGGCATAGGGCGTATTTGTTACCCTGTACGAACGTCAACAATTTTGATTAAGTTCGCTAACATTATGTGACAAACAATGACAGCGCGAGCACAAATTG